GAATCTCTGTAGCCTGCATGTTCAGTGCTATCCATCATGATATGGTGACCAGACATACGGTTGCATAGTGATACTGGATACCAGCACTGGCACGACTGGTATCGTCAACGGGCGGCTGTCATGGCATGAGAAACCATTTCTTCATGATCCTCGGTTGAAACTCACGTTACGGAATCTGCGGAGGCAGCAGTGTTGTCTACAGAATTGCCGTTGCCCTTTTCGACCTGTCAACATGATGACAACGTCAGTGATTGAATTTAATGACTGAGACAATGAATGCCTCACAATTTGAGTCGCACGCCGAGGCTTTCGAAATACTGACTGGTGATTACCCATGGTAATGAGCCTACTATTAGTACAAATGGAGGTCTGCGGTGTTGCGCTGAATCGAAGGGTCAGCAGGAGTGAGCAGGTTTCTTAAAGAACAGCTGACCGCATCTACTAAATAGTACTGCGAAGCCCCCATACCCACCAACTAAATTTGCGAAACACCTGAGTGTGCGGAAGAAATTAGTGCTAGCGCTCGAGCGCTTAACAAACCACATGCAGTGATCGAAGAACGGTCGAAAGCATTAACGCATGCCTAAACTGCGTTGTTGACAACCTTCTATACGCAGCTAATGCCCTGCCACATTGATGCAATCATGGACAGCGTCAATCAAACCTCATCATGATCTAAGATCTAGTCACTAGTATGGTTTGTTCTATCCTACATCTTCGGTTGATCCTATGAGGCCTGTGCAGTATGGTGGATTTCATTAATTGAATCGGTCCGAGTCCATCAAATTGCAGGTGAGGCTCAAGCAAGGTTGCACAGGAAATTTTATTTTCTACCTTTATGGCTTGCATGCATGTCGTTCTGGGTTCGACGACTTTTTAGGTGATCGTGTAGATACAAAAACGATTCAATTGATCGAGGACATCCAGGAAATGGACTCCTGGGGCGGACTCTGGGGATATATCGATAGCATCTGTGTTTCAGTCGGAGTTTTAATATCATGCGGCTGACAACACTACGTAAGCAGCGTGATCACAGCCACGGGCCATACTTCTCTTATCCTAATCGGATGAAACCAAGGAGTATGAGAAACATGCGAATTGTGCGTATCATAGAGCGCTCGCAGCAATCTATGATAGAACCTCAAAGTGACGAATGATTCATCCCCGAAGTAAGAACACTGCTAGGAATGGCAAGACCAGCCCACAGAGTGACAAACTCCGCCTGCACAGGTTAATGATGTTGAAGTGTTCCTCGGCTGTTGATCGTTATATCTAGTGCCGTAGAGGGGAAACGAACGACTTTGCGCTCAGCTCCGCACCCCTGAGAACCATTCGTTGAAGCATCAAATATGTCATAATGTTAGACCCTGGATAAATCTAAACTTTACCATCGCTGGATAGCATAACTCCATGGCAAGTCGTCTTATCGCTCCAAGTCCGAGAACCAAGGGATTACTTCGTGTCGTAATATACAGGAAAGGGGCATTGGGCTTACGTCAAAATACTACAATATCCGAGGCGAGTTAAACTCAAGGTGAACTCGAATCGGTTCGAAAATGACCAAACTCGTTTCAACTCGTTAGGTTCGAGATTTGCAATCGATTTGGTGCACTTCGTCCCCTGTGAATGACCTATAGGCCCATATGAATATCATTACAATGAGCGCATATATTCACTTTCGATGAGTGCGTTTCAATTTTTTTCGCTTGTCGAGTGACTGTTTATGCATTATGGGCCGAACTATAGTTGTTAATCCAAGCATCAAGCTTGAGTGGTTGAAGGAGCACCGGGAGCTGAGGGTGTCGAAAATGCTCTAGAATGGATGCTACAAGCGGCTCGTCGTCTTTTTTTTTCTGCGTGTTATGAATATCGTGATTTTTTGGTGCAGATGACTTCGTTTCGTACGTCCATTAGAGTCGGCGAGACCCAGACCCAACTGGAACTGTTCACACCCTCGAACAACCTCAAAGGAAACGCGTGGCGCTCATCTTCTGCTACTAATAGTAGTATCCCTCCAACTCCCGTCATCATTGTCTCTGAACCAGTGATACACTCCCTGACATCGGAAACCACAGAGGAACGCTTCCGTAAAGAACTCGAACTGGGCAGGAAGGATGCCGAGTGCCAGTTTTCTCGTTATGAAGATGCAGGTATACTACTTGAAGCAGCTGAACGCACAACAGATATCGTTCATTTTCTGGGAGGTATGTGATATATTTCTGTCTGCAATTCATAAGATTAACAGGTATCATGTTAGCAAAAAGAACGTACATTTCCGCTTCTATTCCACGTCGCTATGGACATCCTACCTGCTCAAGCTTCATTTGTGCCTTCCGAGCTCATATTTTCATCCAGCGAAGGGACCTGCACTCTATGGCGCAGTAATTTATCTCCGACCACACTTGAAGCGCCACAAGTCCTGAAGTTCATTTACAAGCAGGGCCGCCTTAATTTCAGAGGACCTGGTGGCTGACGAGCGGGGCTACACAATATCTGGACCTATGACTCCCAGGGCAGTTGACGAGTTAATGGCTGCTGGAAATCTTTGCGAGCTTGACTGCTTCAGGATGCAAGGGACATTGATTGTAATTAGTATATCTGCTGGTCGTATACTAGCAACTTGCAACGATTGTCGTTGTCATCATGCAGAATCCCTAGCTTCTCATTGGTTGGACTACCGGTCCGTATCACTCCGAACTGGTTTCCAAATCGCGAGTACAAATCGTTTTAACTTCTTAATCCGAACTGTGTCGATTTACCAGTATTTTCCACTTCTAATCGAATCGACTCACCTCGGCGGCAACACCAAATTATTATCGACTAATATCTGAGTCTCACCGGTTTACCAATGAGTTTGTCCGTACTAACCGCAGGCCTTCTCACTGGCTGTGAGACTTCATCAAGATTTCGTCCCATTCACATAGGCTACCACCACTACGATATCATTCCACATTTTTCTCCATCAGATAGTATCATTTATGAAGGTCTCACACATCCTCGCTCAATTTCAAGCCTGGCTGAAGAAGTGGGGATCACGCATTCTTCTTGCCAGCCTTGGGCTTGGTTTGAAGTCGGCACAAGGGGCGAACATTAAAACAATACATGGCAAGAATGCGAAGAATAAGTGTGTTTTTTTATGTACTTGAATGTCACGCAATTTTTGCTGAGTATCTACGGACTATTAGTCTGCCTGACCTCACTGAGCAAATCAGCAAGGAATCATCCCGATACCCTGTCGCGCAAGGCAGCTTTGGGGATGTCTGGAAGTGCATATGCAAGCACCCTCCAATCCCGGTAGAGGCGAGTAGATCCTTTAAGTTTGCACCTGTTGTCACACGCCCATAACTGACCGTCTCCCTATCTACTAGGTTGCAGTAAAGTGTTTGCGACTTGAGATTCCGAACGATAGTTGCAAGATGAAAATTACCGAGGTTCGGGTGGCTCCGCGCATGGGTACCACATGTTTATTTGCTAATGTACGACACTTCAGAGGCTGGAACACGACTTGCAGCGGAACACTCAGCTGAAACACGACAATCTGTTACCTTTGCTAGGAATAACTCAAGGGTTCGGTCCACTGCCTGCTATTGTCTCCCCATGGATGCACAAAGGCTCACTTACCATGCTTCTGGAACGTGATTTCCAGCAACTCACTCTCACTCGAATGCTCCACATTGTGGGTGTTTTTTTCGTGGTGTGGCTCGCATATTAATATTTGCTGTTGCAGCTCAAAGATGTCGCTTCAGCTCTTCAGTACTGTATGCGACAAACGTTAGTATTCGGCGCAAAGCTAACAGGAATATTAGTGCACTCAAAAAACATAGTACACGGTGATCTCACCGGCGTGAGTACCACAGATACTTTCTTCACCAAGGGAATTATTGACGTAATTCAGAACAACACTCTCATCGATGAGAACGGCAATGCCTTCGTGGCTGACCATGGAGTTCTCATTTTCTGTGCCGAGCTCCATGGCACCTCATATATCAGAAGCAATGTGCGGTGGGCTGCGCCTGAAAACTTTCAAGTCCCGGAAGATGACGAGTCAATGAGCTCACCCCAATTGGTATCAGACATATATTCTTTCGGGTGCATTATGTTGCAGGTCTTCACAGGAAAAGTTCCGTATTCCGAATTTCGAAGTGACCATCAAGTTACCGTGCAGATACTCAGAGGCCGGAAGCCTGCTCGACCAGTTACTCCGCCCATTGCAGATGCTCTATGGGATTTCATGCAGAAGTGCTGGCTTGATGAACCGGAACACAGACCTTCAGCCAAGGAAGTTCTGATATTTATACAGGGACAGCTGAACCTGCCACAGGAAAGCTCCCGGCTCTCATGCAACTCATGATGCCATGACATGGCAATTTTGTGTGCTGTATTCTCCATCTTGCATTCTGTACGATATAATGTTCACAATATCTCATACCTTAATATCACACACTCTTGTTACTCCCAGGCTTAGATTTCCTCGATAGGCTCGCAGTTCGTAGTTTTTTGCAATGAATGCAGAGTAGTGGATACATGATATGCTATACCAGCCTTGAATGACGCACAGCAGTATTTAATCCTACTAGGTAGTAGTAATTGTATTATCGTCCATTGTTCCTGACTACAGTGCATCATTTCAGCGCTTGAATCTTATAGTAGTCGAAGCAGGATAGGTTCCACCGCTGTGTCAATATTCCCGTCACAGACTGCAATAATCAATTTTCGTGGTAAGCTCGATGACAAATACGATTGTTGTAGCTGCTGTCAGATGTCGTAGTCGCCCTCAGTTACATGTAGACCCTCTCAGCTTCGCCAATTTGCGTTTTTCGATGTTCACCCTGTGAAGGACATTCACAACCTTGCTAGCTCATCCGAAATTTTCAAAAATGCCTCAGAAATATCAACTATCGTCTCCTCCAGTGCTGGGCTGCTCGCTGCGGATATTCACGGCAGTGTACACATTCTGAACAAGGAGTTTGTATCGATAACGAGTTGGCTCGCACATGAGCAATGCACTTGGCGGAGAGGAAGGGTGTGTTGGTGACAATTAGGGAAGAGGATGCAGTACGGGGTAGTTTGCCGGAGATTTGGAATCTTGGGAAGACGGACAGGAGAAACCAAGCACCAGTGTTGTTGAGATCTTCCATGGTCCACCTGGCGATAAGCCTCATCCCTATGCTCAGCTTTCGTTTGACCATGCACTTTAGGTCTCTTGCTTTGCACTACCTTTTCTTGCCATCGGCTTGGCCGACGGGACGGTGCTACTTTACAGGCACTTGGACCAGTCGCTATCTCCCGCAGTGTCCCTGACTGCACTCCCCCGTACCATCCGTGAATCATCTCCTAAACCGATCGCTGATCTTGGTTTCCGAGAACTTCCAAGTCCTACCAACGCCGATGCGAAGGATAACAATGCGATAAGACACATACACTGATTCTTTGCACAGCTATACCTGAGATCTGGTTATACTCTGGGGATGTATGAGGTCATTTTACGGTTTTGGATGGTCAAGCGCAACGCATGGCCATCCGAGTCCTCCGCATCAACAGAAGTCATACAGGCCCTTGTACAATATGGTCCAACGCATCCGCACCTCTATGAGCTGGTGCTGCACTTCTTAACAAGCATGCCGGAGCTGCTCATGCGGCACCAGGTGGATATGGAGAAGATTCTAGGGAGATGACGACTCAGCATTAATGATCACTGAAGTATGGTCCTTCCAAGATTAAACTTCTGGGGGAGAATACCACCAGCACCCCAGGTAATACCATCCTTCGCATTCAGGGTGACGTGCCTTAAGGCTTGAATTACTAGCAGAGAATCCATAATCGGTGAGGTTAAGTATTTTTTTTTTCATTTTGTCAACAGAACAGCATTCTAATTGGGAACTCATGAACTCTATACTTAGATGTGCATGCCCATCACTGAAGTTTCCGTAGATCACGGTGGACCATGAAGGGACTGTCCAAGCAGCTCGATATGATTGATCAATGATCAAGATGTAAGTTCCCTTTATATCGGATATGTGGTCTAAACAGTGGACACACAGTGGGCAGAACAACACGAGTCAGATAGGCGCTGTCTCGAGTTGTATTATTATAGGGGAGATAGGGCCATTCATTCTAGAATGAGCACATATTTCTCAGCGCTTGAAGTCAGACGGCAGGCAGCATTTGCTAACGTAGAATTAGTTATCGAGGTTCATTCCATGGAGCTGTTACCGAGGCCGATGCCATGCACAATAGCCTAGTTTTGGCCAAAGTTTTATTGCTAAATCCAAATTGGTTACAGGTGGATCTCATTAATCGAGTCTGACTCAAACATTCAGTTGCAGGTGAGGCTCAAGCAAGGTTGCACGGGAAATCTTATTTTCTACCTTGATGACTTGTATGCATGCCATTCTGGGCGAAAGTGACATCACCCGAGAGTGAGGCAAAAATGCTTCGTCCTGATGAACATTAATCAAGTTTATCGAGATACTTATTTTATATATTTAAATAGGAGCCGCAATCACAATCCGTCCAAAATGTATCGTGACATACATCGCTTGAGCTAGTCGGACAGGGGATTGATAGGACCTTTGCCAATTCTTCTTCCACAAAGGAAGCAGCATCTCCAGTGGAAGGACGATCCTCAGGCTTGGCTGACCAACACTTCCGCATGAAATCCAAATGCTGGTGGCTAACGGTCACACTAGGTTCGAGCTGATATGGCTCTACGCGCTTGAACCGAGCACTGAATAGCTGTCGAACATTTCTAAGCCACCAGAAGGGAAGTTTACCCGAGAAGACCTGTACGATGCAAGATTCAGGTGAAAATCGAATAGGATCCAGCATATGCGACTTACATGTAGCATGATGCAACCGAGCGAAAATACATCGCTCTGACTGTTCGGTTTCGGTAAGCTGACAACGCTGTCACTGTCATCCAGAATGCTTTCTGGATCCGGTAAGTCGATCAATTCTGGCGCTAACCACCGAACAGCGCCACTCGAATACGAGTGATAGTACGATCTGTCACCCTCTGCGAGAGCCACCGAGAGACCGAAATCTGCCAAAAATGCATTGCCATCGCTGTCGATCAGAACATTCGTCTTCAATTATAGGGTTAGTAAGGACTCCAAAGCATCGAATAGTACATACACTGGTCAGATCCCCGTGAATTACTCCCTGTTCATGAACTAGAGAGGTTGTCAGACAGAAAACGCATTCGGAACGGCGATCTCATACGATATCTCAAGCCATCCACCACCTGTTTCGACTAAATAAGAGCATTCATTGAGTAAGGATTAAAATTTGAGATAATAAATCTCACAAGCTTCAGTTTCTGTTCCATGGTTAGGCTCGTGCGCTCCAGGTAACCATTAAGTGCCCCGTTGTGCATCCATGTGGAAACAAGAGCAGGCAATGGTCCAAAACTGGAGACCGTACCGTGAAGAGTGAGAATATGTGCATGCCTCAGTTTGATCCATACAGCTACTTCACGGCGAAGTCTCTGCGGGCATTCAATACACTGCACATGACGGAATAAATGTTAGCATACCTTCTTCGCTTTTTGGATGGCTTTTTCATTGCGTATGTCGTCAACCCTAATAATTTTGACAGCAACCTGTCCAACAGGAATCAGTCGGCAAGATTCGCAGGGTAACATTATATGCACCTCAGTAGAGGTTGCTAGAGCTGCTGAACCGATGATCATTGAGCACTTCCAGATCTCGCCCAAGCCACCAGATGCCATATAATAATCTGATTGCTTCTTGATGGATGTAGACGGAATGGCAAATGGGTCCACATCGAAGGCTACTCTGAGACCGTGCCTTGTGTTATTATATCTGCAGTTTATGAGGAAATTTGTACTTACGGCTGCGTTTCAGGTGTACCAGGGGTAACCGGCTGTACTATAGTCACAGCGCCACTATCATCTCGCGAGGAAGTGTCATATAAGCCAGGGGCCGCGTGAAATACTTACGGTACAAGATTTTCATCCACGGCGTTGGATGCCTGGACTTGCGGTGATATTTGAAACGATGCATCTCTGTAGCCCTTATGTTCAGTGTTATCCATCATGGTATGGTGATCAGACATACGGCTGCACAGTAGTACTGGATACCGGCACTGTACAACCGGTATCGTCAACGAGCGGCTGTCATAGCATGAGAAACCATTTCTTCATGATCCTCGGTTAAAAGCTCACGCTGTGGAACCTGCGGAGGAGGCAGTGTTGTCCACAGATTGCGGTTGTCGTTTTCGACCTGTAAATATGATGGCAAGGTCAGTGATTTAAATCTAATGACTGAGACAATCAATGCCTCACAATCTGAGGCCTTGGAAATACTGATGGGAAACTACCCATGGTAATGAGCCTATTATTAGTATAGATGGAGGTCTGCGGCGTTGCGCTGAATCGAAGGGTCGGCAGGAGTGAACAGGTTCAAGAACAGCTGACCGCGCCTATTAAATAGAATTACGAAACCCCCATACCCACCAACTAAATTTGCCGAGCACCTGAGTGTGCGGAAGAAATTAGCGCTAGCGCTTAAACCGCACGCAGTGATCGAAGAACGGTCGAAAGCATTATGCACGCCTAAACTACGTTGTTGACAACCTTCTATACGCAGCGAATGCCTGTCACATCGGTGCAATCATGGACGGCGTCATCCAACTTCATCATGATCTTAGATCTAGTCACTAGATGGTTTAGTTCTGTCCTGTAGCATCTTCGTTGACCCTATGGGGCCTGTGGTGAATTTCATTAATGGAGTCTGACCTCAATACCCAACTGCAGGTGAGGCTCAAGCGAGTTGGCATGGGAAATCTTATTTTCTACCTTTATGGCTTGTGCATGTCGTTCTGGGCGCAAGTGACACTCGAGGCAAAAACGATTCATCTGACGAAAGTAAAAACATAATCTAATTGTCCTCGCTTAGTCCTCGAGAATCGTAGACATCGAGGACATACCAGCAAGGCGGGAGCGGTGGGACCCTAATAGATTCGGGAGACAAACATCCCCACACACAAGACGAGAAACTCGAGTGAGAAAAGGCAAAGAGCCAATTCGGCTCCGTCTCGCTAGACCCTAGACCGACAACTCCACTAAAGGAGGCGATTGCCTACGGCACATTCGTCCATGCCAATTTGCACGGGGCCAAAAGCCGCAGGGCAAAGGGCAAGGCCCAAGACAACGACACGGGGAGACCCGAGGGAAAGAATAGGTCTGCTAGGGCAGACTCGACCAATTACCCTTGTGTAAACTCGATAAATAAGTAACGTTAATCAAGCTGATCGAGATACTTAGCTCGAACCTATTACGACGTTTGCCTTCAAGTTGGCTGGGTAAATTTCGTTATGCTATATATTTATATGGAAGAACCACAACCGCAATCCCAGTCCAAAGTGTACCGTGACATACATCGCTTTGAGCTA